CCGGGACCTACATGGTAGAGATAGCCAACTCCCACAGTTATCCTCTGATTTCCACATGCTTGCCACAGTACACATGCCAGTGCATATGCACACTCACAATGTGTGCACATGCATGCGCGTGCACACACACACACACATACAAATAAGTGTAATGAAAACTTGAAGGCTTATGTAAGGGTTCATAATATAGACGGTTTTGTTTCACTGGCGCATATGCAAGGATTGCCTAGTGAGTGTGACAATTGCCCATGATGGAACAGAAGCAGCTCCATGTAATTTTGCTGTTCTCTATTCACACCAACACAAGCAGGAACTATCATTAAATATTCAAAGGGGGGTTCACTTACATATTTCAGATATACTGTTTATTTTAAAGGGAAATTGGATTACATAATATTTGTAAATTTATGGATCCTCAAAGAACTTCAGAATGTTAAAAGTTCTTTCATCTTCTTAAAGACTAAATTAGATCTTTACAAATGTAAGAATGAAGAAACGTCATTCTCTTGCAAGTTCATGAGTAATATTCAAACACCCTGTGAGTTTCCTTGAATGGTTAGAACACACATTTCGCTTCAGAATCATCTGAAAGAGTTACTTAGACACTGTTTGCTGAGCCCTAATTCCAGAGTCTGGAATTCAGCAGTAGCTTTCTGAGGTGAGACACAGAGCTACACAAGTTGATGGGTGATTGGTGCTGCTGATACAAAAGTCAGAGTGTGAGAACCTGTTTTGAAAGATAACACCCAAGTTATTCTAAATTCACATAATTGTACAGTCCTTCGCATTGTAATCCATAAAAATTTCTTGATTTCCTTATGATCACGTGACAAAAATACACACAAGTAGTAATAGTTACAGCCTTGGTGTGCTTTAAATGGGTCTTTTTTTGAAATTATATTACATTAGAATTAGTATAATGGGATGCTGCAAAGATAGCCCTCAGGTAATAGCACAAGCTACACAAGCTTAAGGACCGAGTTAAAATCCCAAGTACCTACATAAAATTCCAGGCGTGAAAAAAAAAATTCCAGGCGTGGATGCGTGGGCATGTAACGCCAACATTTTAAGGGCAGAGACAGATGCCAACATAGTTCCAAGTTCAGTGAGAGACCTTACTTCAAGAGAATAATCAGAGTTACACAGAAGAACATCCAATATTTTCCTCTGGCCTCCTCATGTGCACACACATGAACACACACCACACATACACACACACACACACACACACACACACACATTTCAATTAAAAGAATTGAAGCCGGGCGGTGGTGGCGCACGCCTTTAATCCCAGCACTCGGGAGGCAGAGGCAGGCGGATCTCTGTGAGTTCGAGGCCAGCCTGGTCTACGGCGCGAGATCCAGGAAAGGCGCAAAGCTACACAGAGAAACCCTGTCTCGAAAAACCAAAAAAAAAAAAAAAAAAAAGAATTGGTATAATAGGAAATTATAGAGATTTTAAAACTCAAAATGTGATTTAAAAACAACTCTCATATATTTTGATTTCTGCCCATAACACCACTATAATTTAATAATTAAATAATTGTTTATATAATGTCTCTGTTCCCTATCGCATTTTCTTCATTTGCTCACAAAACTAAACATTGTCTCATATAGTTCACTACTACATCATTTTGCAGAGAACAATGTCTAGCACATGACAAGTATTTTTAAAAATTGTTTACTATTTTGAATAAAAATTATTAAACATGTATTATTAATATAAGGATTCATATACTATGAACTTATATTTAAACCCTGGAAAGTGCTGACAGTATGAAAACTGTAAAACTGTGATTATCCACTGAATAATTTTTTTTATGATCAGACCACAAGATGTCACCCTAAGCCTAACATCTAGAATGTAGTTTCTAGCATATTGACAATAAACTGACTTTCAATTTTTTCAAAATTTAATGTTTTTTATTATACTGAAACCATACCATTGGAGGGTATATCAATAATTATATTTATAATTTAAACATACATGAAGTATTTTCAAGATTGAGTTTCATAAATTCCCCTTTGTAGATGTTTAACCATAGTAACCAGCATACACAAGCAAAGAAAGCGTCTTCCAAATACATTGTGCTTGCGAATGCCAGGTATAGGTTACCGTGCTTCTCATCAGCACTGCATATACATGAGTAGATGAACAAATAATTGAGTGAGGGTGTTTTGTGGAAAATAATTGCTTATCTTTTACTACTTATTTTCTCAAAATATTAAGAAGAATATTTTCTTCCAAAATATTGAGAAGAATATAAGAATATCTGAGTTATATACATAAATGCAAGTGATGTATGTATCATATATAAATATGTCATGTGATTGCTTTATGTGTTAATGAATGATCATTGCTAACTTTCAAAGTACTTTATTCCACTCTGAACTACTGACAAATGAGAAATCAAAGTAAATAGCAAAGGAACTGGGGAAGTAAGAAAGAAAGGCCATCAAACAGTTCACCATGCTCCAGGCTTGTCCTGCTATTTGCTGCAAATACAGCCTATCTTATCATTTCATTTTATATTCTTTTACTTTGTTTACTCAAAAAACATTCTAAAATGTATATTACCTTTATAATCAGATAAAATTCTTGTTTAAAAATTAGAAAAACATTCCTGCTGCCTTGGAGAGATACTTTAAAGCAAATGATGGACTACAAAAAAATATTTATTTCTAGACTGATGTTCTTCTTCATGTGTTCAAAAAGGGTTTGATTTCCTGGTCACATGTAAATATTGCAGCACAGTCCTCAGGAATATGGTTCATTTCATTATCCATTTGTGTTGGCTTTTTGGGCATTATGAGTCTTGTTTATAAAGTTAGATAGGATTCATCCAAGGCACTATTTCAATGCACTGGCTATCTGAATATTAGACCAATGGGTAAAGCACATCTTTCATTATTTGTAACAAAATGGGTGCAGGGTGAGAGGAGAAGTCAGGTTATAGACAATAAACCTATGTTTTGTTTATCGACAACAGCCTATCCATGTTTTTATAAAGATCTGAATCTTCTTCAGGACGCACAGGGAGATCTTAAGGAAAACGCCCAGTGAAACAGTCCTTAATGATAAGTTAATGATCAATACTTTGCTTCCACATACAATTCAACAGAAAATCGTGTACTGCTGTATAGTGCTTCTTTGTATTTGGGTTTAACCCCAACTGACATTAAAGGGCCAGCCAAAGTAACATGGTATGCAGATTATTGCATAACAGCTTTTTTACAGATTTATTAGAGAAATTCAAGCCACACTATAGGCTCTCAGCCAAGATATTTATCGCTCACTTTAAATAATGGAAAAATGCAGTTGTTAGTCTCACCCCTCTGCCTTCTTGTCCTCTAGGTAACAGTGCTATCAAATGATTACATTTTCAAAGCATTTCGATTTATCTAAATCATCTGACAGTATTATTCCTAAACCAGTTCTCAGAAGCTCAAGCTCCCCAAAGACAGCCAGTCTCAACTAAACACATCACGTAAACCAATTGAGATGTGCTGCCATTTAGTTAATGGCCTTTATGAGTCATCAACTAAATGATACTATTAATACTTAATTCAGAAATGTGTGGTTTAAAATGTTCAGTAAAATACTATTCTCTAATGGCTATGTTTATTTAAATTCTGTAAGGCTCCATTTAGAGTTGTTTTTATTTAATACTAGCTGAGATGATTATATTTGTTTGTGTCATTAATCCTTGCCAGCCACAATAGATGAAAGGAATTATTTTTCCCACAGGTAAGATAATTTTATAGAGCTTTTTAACTTCCATTTACATTCAATAAATTTATTTTCAACTCTTTGAAACTTAATACTATCTTTTAAATTATACTGAGACTATAATCTTGGGGGTTTACCAGTTGGTATATTGATAGCTTGAAATAAAAAAACATATTAATAAGTAAAAAAGAAAATATTTTGACATTAAGCTTCATAGATTCCTGTAGTTAGATTTTTCTTCCAATATATACTAGCATTTAAATGTGATGAAAAGGTCTAGTTGACTCACTTATTTCTTTTAAAATGTATTATGTTGTTGTTTAGCACACACAAGTGCTGAGCTCAGTTCCTGATGCTAAAAATGAATAATCAGAAAAAAAGTCTCCTGTGTCAAATGGAGTTGTTTTAATGTTCAATTTGTTGTTTTTCTTGAAGGAAATATTGATTTATTGAATGATTTTCCTTGTTTCTTTTTTTCTTAAAACACCTTGAGAAGATCAATATAAAGCTATGTGAATGAATGAAAAAGGCTGGGCAGTGGTGGCACATGCCTTTAATCTCAGCACTTGGAGGCAGAAGCAGGCGGATCTCTGTGAGTTCAAGGCCAACCTGGGCTACACAGTGAGTTCCAGAAAAGGCTCCAAAGCTGCACAGAGAAACCCTGTCTCAAAAAAAAAAAATGTGAAAGATAGATGTATAAGGACATCTATCAATAAAACACAGCCTTGATTTTCTTCAATATCATTAAAGAGGAGGCTAAGATTATCTAATTATATTCATGACAGATTGAAAAGCATTGAGTTTACATCAATAAACTTTTCAATTCTTGATCTAAATTTTCCTAAAAGAAGCAAAAGAGATGAAGGATTTCCCTTTAACTTTGTTCCGAGAAGGACAGCGGAGCTGTGAGAACAACTCCACACTGTTTGTTCTCTATGGTGCCTATCCCCAACTCTGCAGCACACTCAGCTTCTCACCTGGGTACCTTTCTCCTCCCATACAAAATATCCTTTCAATATTGATACTTTTCAATAATCTATCCTTTATTTATATTTTACAATTGGTTTTCTAAGTGAAAATAAGAGGTGAGGGAAATCTATCTTTTGAGTAACAAGAAAAATTATCAGGGTTTTTTGTTTGTTTGTTTGTTTGTTTGTTTATTTTGGGGTTCTTTTTTTGTGTGTGTGAAACTTAGTTATCTAGGACATTATTCAAAAATATGTAGCCTGATTCTGGTGATTAAGACCATAAGTAATTTCTGTAATACATACCCAGCAAGGCTTGAAACAAGCTGCTCTTAAAAATGCTCATCACCTTTTTAACAGCATTTTTCAACAGCTGCTCCTCAGGTTTTCTTAGTTTCTTGCAGTATTCTTCCAGTAATAACAAAGCTCGATCAGTATCTGAAAGACACAATTGTTAAAGTCCACCATGTGGTCCCAGAGAAACCATTGATCAGACTCATCTATGTTATAGCTGTGTTCCTGATTTCATGACACAAATAATTCAGCAAAGTGATCATCTATTCCAGGAACTGCCAAATGAAATTAATAACTATAATTTCAAAGCCCACTTTGGTTTTCTTATAGTCTAATCTTCCAAAAGAATCTGCAACTGTGAAACAACACAAAGCAAAAATACACTGCTGGCCAGATGTTCACATAATAAATGTGACTCCATTTATTTTTATTTTTTTTTTAAGATTTATTTATTATGTATATAGTGTTCTGTCTGCATGTATACTTGCAGGCCAGAAGAGGGCACCAGCTCTCATTATAGATGGTTGTGAGCTACCATGTGGTTGCTGGGAATTGAACTCAAGACCTCTGGAAGAACAGCCAGTGTTCTTAACCTCTGAGCCATCTCTCCAGCCCGTGACTCCACTTATAAAGAGAAAAGAACCATAGTAAATTGATGACTGCCTAAAAATAACGTCCGACATCCTTTATGACCTTTAAGGCCTCCTCCCCTCCGTGAATTTGCAACCCACATCTTCTGCCTTATTTTCCAATAGATGTGTCATGTCTTTCAAATGTACACAGTGCCCAAATCATACTTACTTTCCCTTCCCACTCCCCTCTACACACACAAAAAAAAATCTTACTACTCCCTGTACTAAGATACTCCCCTCCCCACTACCGCTATCTCACCCCAGAATTAGTGTTCTATTGAAAGAGCTCTTTGATTCAGGACATGAAACCCACTTAGGCACTACATATGAACTACAGCATATTACTTAACCTGTCTAAAATTCCCGTTTCCTCACAGGTATTAGTAATAAATAAAACAATAGTCCTTGGCCCAATGTCTATTACATAGAAAGCAACTGATAAGCCAACTGAAAACCTACCTTTCTTTAATTTAGACCTCATTCAAATGCTCTCTCTCTCTCTCTCTCTCTCTCTCTCTCTCTCTCTCTCTCTCTCTCTCAGAGCCATCTCTGATGGTTAAAATCAAACACTATCTCCCCTGTTTCAAAAACAGTTTTTGCACAAATCCTATAGCCATTCAGAGTATATACAGTATAATGTAAAATAAAACATCATAACTAGTATCTTCACCTCTCAGAAAAACTCCTTGGAAGTCCCCAGAGTGACACATTTTGCACATAGGTGAAATAAACTTGAAATGTAATAACAACATTTATTGATTGCTTTATTTCTGAGTACAACTTCCTTTCTCCTGAACTCTTCAGTTCTTTCCCCACACACAACCTTTCTCAGCTGATAGTACTTCCTAGTTCACTTTAAGTCAGAACAGGCTACAAACTCTTAGCATATATTGACTTAGTGAAACTGTTCTATATTTTGGCCATCTGTTACTATGGATGAAATACTTGCACTTCTATCAAAAGTAAAATCCTCTACTATAAATTTTTTTATACTTTCTTACCTACTCCAGAGTGTAACCAGAGGGTTACCTGTGTTCCGGTCTGCCGGTGGTCAGTACAAATCTCTCCCACTTGCATCCCCCAAGTAAACACACAGAGGCTTATATTAATTATAACTACATGGCCATGGCTCAAGCTTTTTGCTAGCTAGCTCTTATATCTTAAATTAGCCCATAGCTATTAATCTATGTATTGCCACATGTTCCATGGCTTTACCTGTGTCCCACTACATGCTGCTCCTGGGGTGGCTTGCTGGCGTCTCTCCCTGCCTTCTTCCTGTCTCTCTGTCTCTCTCTTTGAATTTCCTGCCTGCCTATAAGCTGCCTTGCCAAAGGTCAAACGGATTTATTTATCAACCAATCAGAGCAACATATATTTGCAACATACAGAAAGACATTGCCCCATCACTTCCCCTTTTCTGTCTAAACAAAAGGAAGGTTTTAACTTTAACCTATTAAAATTACATATAACAAAACAGTTATCAAGCAAGAATTACAGTTACAATATCTAGTTTATTTATATTTTGTAAAATTAAAGAAAAATTTCATCTATCCTATATTTGTGAGTCTAAGACTTTATATCTAATTTATCTTTTATCATAAGCAAAAAAAATTTTAATTAGAACTATCTAGTCTTTAACTACATCAAAGACCCCAGAAGGATATAATATTACCTAAGTAAACAGGAAATGCATTGTGAGCAACTTCCAAAATTCTGGAAATGACAGAGACAGCTGCCTGCCTCTGTAACATTGGAGTATCCATCTTTAGCCCCTAGGCCTAGTCTCTCAGTCATTTTTTTCTCTGTGTCCTGTAGAATGTCTGACAGTCTCCTCTGTGAAGAAGGAGCCTGAAGGACCATCTTGCCTTGCAAAGTTCAGTCGTCACCTTTCTATGATCCTGCATGTCCAGTCAATACAACATTTTGTCAAGCAGTCCAGGCAAGAACAGCTATTTTTGCCAAGAAGAAGATAAATTCCATATAAAGTGTCTTCGATGCCCATCTTTTTCTTTGAAGTAAGTCGGTGCTGCCAGGAGCAGATGTGTCTCACTGTCCAGAAAGTCTTAAGTTTTTAAAACATTTTAAATGCCATATTTTGTAGGTCTTTGAAGTGTTTGAAGATTACCTACCTAATTGAAATATATCTATGTATACCTAGAAAACTTAACTAACACAACTATAAGTTTAATTATCATAGATGACAAATTATTGATCTGTATTTCTCAACTATACACTACAATTTTAAATGAGTTGCACAAACAAAATACTTTAAACAAAAATAGAAATATACATACAGTATAACAAAATTAACTTCATCCTATCATATCTATACTCCAGAGTGCTGTTCTATCATCATTGTTTCTTATTCTTTCAGTCATTCCCACCAGCATATAAACAACCTGAAATACCAGTGACCTGTTTTATAGATTCATTTTTATGACTTTAAATTATGTGTAAGTGTGTGTCTGAGTGCAGGTACCCATGGAGGCCAAAATCATTGGCACTCCTGAAGCTGGAGAAACAGATATTTGTGGGACACCTGATTTGGGTACTAGGAACAGAACTGGGGTCCTCTGGAAAAGCAGTAAGTGCTCTTAACCACTGAGCTATCTCTGTAGCCCAAACCACTGACTTTAAAAATATTTGACTCCAGTTCTAATTACAGTGCTAACCCACTTGATAACAAAACTCCATGAAATGTTTACTGTCTATTTTTCCTTTCCTTTGGTTGTTTCGTATACTACTTTAATCAGACTATAATTTCACAAAAGAGTCACTGTCACTGTCACCTCTCATTTCCTTATTCACAAAGCCAATGGTCAGTTTTGAGCCATCTCATGTGACCCAACAGTAGTCTCTGATGCTGTTGCACTACTGAAGACACTTACATGAGTTTATTATAAAGTTTACTAATGTAAGGATAAGACATGTTATTTTATTATCATTTTTGTTGGTTGACTCTCAAGAATTTTTTATTAGTTTTTTGCCAGGTTTTTACTGGGGGTGGAATCAATGAATGAACAGTCATAATACAAATGTTGGTCCTATACTTTTGTTCTGAAATGCTACATAACGACCCCGTATTAAGGGCTTGGTCATCAGCCCATTGCACTACTGGGTTGTTATGGAACCTTAAAGAGGTCCAGCCTTGTTGGAATAAACCAGGTCAGCCTTTGATGAGACACTGGGACACCAGCTACTTTTTTCTCTTTGTCCTTTACTACCCAGCAGCCATGAGATAAACAGACCTTCTCTGCTATGTAATTCCCTCATGGTGCACTCTGCCACCACAGGCCCATTATTCTTCAGCTCTTACAAGTTGGAATGTGCCAACTCCAACTCATTATGATCTCTAGGGCAGCACTCTCTGTTTTCCTCTTATATCATGAAGGAAATAGTTTCTTCGTCACTTCCACTCACTACATAAGCCAGGCTGGCCTCCAATTCCCATGCTACCAAGCTGGCCTCAAGCTCAGTATGTAGCCCAAGCCTAGAATCCATGATCCTCCAGCCATCATACATGATGAAATGTATGACTCACCATGTCCACCTTGACTCCTACACTTCTCCTCTTGCTGAACCTACTCCAACCACAGTGGTTTTAATTTCTTTTTCAAATGCACCAAGAATACTCTTACCTCAAGGCCTTGCAGTTCTGCCTAACACACTCTCCATCAGATAGCCAGAGCCTAGTCCTCGCTTCCATCTTTCATCTATCACTTTAGCTGGGGGGGAGGGGGGATTTCAAGACTACTCCCTTTACAAAAGTAAGAATCTGGGCCTGGAGATATATAGTGTAGTCAGCAGAGCACTTGTCTAGCATAAAATAAGCCCTGGGTTTGATGCTCAGTATCACATGAAATCAGGCAGGGTTTTGATTTTTATTTCCTTGATGGCTAAGAATGTTGAACACTTTTTAAAACATTTCTTAGTTAGTGGATCTGGGAGGATTTGGAGGGGAATGTGGAAACAGAATATGATCAAAATATAGTAAAAACCATGTATGAAAGTCTTAAAGAATGAATAAAATAGATTTTTAAACAGTCATGGTGGCATGCCTACAATCTTAGCAGTCAGGAAATACAGACAGAAAGACGAAAAGGTTTAAGGTCATCTTCAGCTACACACTCAGTAAGTTTGAGACCAGCCTGTGCTATAATGAGACCTTATCTCAAAAATAAAGTGAGAATCTCAGTTAAGCAATAATGGATAAAAGAAGACATAGCACAGTTATGCACTCCCTAAGAGTGCAAAGCCAGGTGCAGCAATGCACACCTACAGTGGTGTCTCCAGCTCTCTGGGGACAAAGATAGGAGACCTATAAATTTAGAGTCTGTCTAAGCTATGTAGTAAGACTCTGTCTCAAAAGACAAAGCTAAAAATAAAAATTATCATCATGGGTGGAGAAAAAGAATCAGACCCTCCTGTGCTCATCCTCCTATGGATACAATTTGGAAAGCTATTCACACAACAAATACCTTCACAAGAGCTAAGGAAACTGAGTACTTTCAG